AATATCCTGTTTCACAAAGTGGGGAAAGAGCAAAGAGAATGACAGAAGTGGAGCTGGAGCCCTAGTATATTTCCCGTACAAGTGAGTTATTTTCTGCTACTGTGGACTAAGACAGCCTGTTACTATCCCTCTGTCCTACTGGGTTGGAGAAGGTTATACGATGTACAACGGGAATTTAAAAAAGGAATTGAAACTGAACATAAAACGTGCTAATACCTTCATAATAGGACATTTCAAGAAAGTTGGGAGTTCACATGAAAGTTTTGGAGTTCACATCCTTTAAACTGTCTTCAAGGATGTGTAGATGCTCTTTCACAGGCTTTCAGAAAACTCCTTTGGGTAATTCTCACTCAGCAAGTGATTTTTTTTTTTTTCTTTTCTTTTCTTGCCTAGTCAGCATGTCTTCTAGTAACAGAATTCAGTATTTCATTTTGTGGAACACTCCTTCCCCTTGTGGGTTTATTTAAAAATGATGGTACTTTCAGAATACAAATTTTGGCTTATGACCTAGGCCTTGCCAGTCAAACTATGACATGCTTCTTGTGGCAAGAAAAGGCATATCATGGCCCAAGAGGCCAGAGCAAGGGAGGGTAGATAGAAGAGATGGATCATAATCAGTAAGATAGATGATAGATAGATAGATAGATAGATAGATAGATAGATAAAGAAGGAAGGAATAGCAAGGAGGCCAAAGTGAATGGAGCAAAGGGAGTCATGCGAGAGGTAGCAGTAGGTGAGGTTGTAAGGGTAATGGAAGAGCAGCTCATGTTGGGCTTTGGTTCTTACTCTAAGTGGGAAACTGCCAGGAAAGTTTTGAGCAGAAAATGGATTTGATCTGACTTGATATTTTTTAAGATCACTTTCGACGAAACAGTAGGGAAACCATGGAGGACATTGCTGAAATGACCCAGGTGGGAGACGGTGGAAGCATATGTAAGATTTGGTCAGACTATGGGTATGTGAGGAAAGTCCAGCCAAGACAATTTCCTGGCCGCTAGAAGGCAACCATGAGTCAAGGATAACTGAAATGTTTTAGGCCTGAACAACTGGAAGTAGAGAATTGTCACTGAGAATGGGAAGAAATGAGAAAAGTAAGATTAGGGACACGGGTTTGGACATGGTAAGACTGAAATATACTCTCAAGGATGCAGATGAGCAAAGGAGTAGGGGTTCATGAGACAGGTCCAACCTGGGGATAAAAGCCAGGATACAAAGACTTGCCTTCTCTCTCTGCAACCAACAAAGCCTCACCTGGAGTTTAACAGAATAAAGGAAGAGAACTTTTTGTTGGGGAAAACACCAGTCCACTTTACCAGTCAGACTCCTGTCTTTGAGATCAAAGAGACTTCATTCCTTCATCTTACCTCCTCTCCGGTTTCTCCCTGGTCTCCCCCAGTCCCTTTAGGCTAGACCCCACACTCTGCCCAGTTGCTCTCTGCTTCTTCCCCTCCAGGTCCCTATTCTTAGGTCATTACCTGTTGGATAAAAGACAGGACGTTCCCTAGGAGAGTGTTCATTTCCTAGTCGCCCACAGACAGGGAATCGCTAGCCTCCAGGAATCTACACTTCTCACATTTACACAAAGGGCAAAAATAAGCCTGTTCCGTTGAGCCTGGGTCACTAACCCCAAAACAGTCCCAGCCGGCTCCATTGGTGGAATCGGGGTGGACAAAAAGGCTGTGAAGCCCTCCACACTAGGGTAAGACACACCGTTAGGGGTCAGGAGACCCTAATCTCTCGTCGCCCAAATTGGTGCAGGGAGCAGGCCAGGGCACGAATGTAGCTCAGCAGCTGAGCCAGCACAGCCAGAGGACCAGCCCGGCGGAGACGCCTCCCTTTACCTCCTCTCGGGGCGCTCCCGCCCCCCGGCGGGGCAGCCAATCGGAGCCGGGCAACCTTCCGCTCCGCAGACCTGGCAGCAGCGGCGGCGGCGGCGCCGGGAGGCTACGCGGAGGGCTCGAGCTCGGTGCTCACTGGCATCAGGTAAGGTGCGCACTGGAGGACAGCAGCCGGGCACGCGTGGGGGAACCAGGGTGCGTGACGGAGAACGCGGAACGACACGACTTTCCTAAAGCGTTCGGGCAGGCGCTTAAAGGGCCTTAAAGGCCAGAGGAGGCCCTGCACCAATCGCCGGCCTGGGCCACGGCTGCTGGAGCGGGATGCAGTGGCGCCGCCTACCTAGCCCTGCCCAAGGCCCGGCACGCGGGAGGACAAGAGTCTCCGCGGGCTTAGGAGGGGCTCTTTCAAATAAACAAGACACTTAAAAAAAATCTGTATTTCATTTTTAAATGTTATGGTTTCGGTTTTTAGGTAGATCTTAGGGGGGCCGGTGCAGTGTATGTGTTCCCCGCGGTCTAGGCGGCTGGGTTGAACGAGTGGTTCTACTGGAGGCCTCCAGCATGGGGACTTGGGATTCTACCCTGGGACTCTGAAATGTCAGGAGGGTGTCCCTCCCTGAAAGCGTCTTAGCCTTTCCTAGCCACACTTTCCTCTTTGGAAACTGTGAAGTGTGTTTCGTAGGCATTGTTGTGAGGGGTAAATGAATTAATATTCTTGCAAAATGCATTCTAGACATGTAGTGCTCAGGAATATTGCTAATGAGTTCATATCCTACTTTTAAAAATTTGAGGCATCCTTTATATACTGTTCTGGACCCTGATATTTTTTCACTTAACATTATGTCATATGAATTTTCCATCATACACTACTGTGAGATCTTGGGCATATTAAGCTAATCTCTTGGTGCCTCAGTTTACTTATCAGAAATATTATGGATAATCATAATGCTTGGCTGGATGGTTATGCAGAATAAATGACTTAGTAAACCTAAGTAACTTACAGCATGATTTTCATTGTGGTAAAGATTCAAAAAATATTAGCTCATCATTATCTATAAAGCAAGCAATACAGTCCTAAAGGAACTCCTCCTCATAACTACTGTAATTTCTGTGGCATTATTTCCAAGAATTTTTTGAAATTACTGAAATAGAGGGTATTGATATATTACTCATTTTTGTCCCAAAAGATTATATTGATAAATATACAAATCTTTTCCTTACATTATGCATTCCAGAAAAAAAAACACTGATGTGAAATGGTAGACAAAGTATCATAAGAAATGTTTTGCATGAAAGGTTCTCTAACTGTACTTGAACGTTTAGGAGTAATTGTCAATGTTTTTCTTGTTTTTCATACATGTTCTTTATTTATTTTCTTTTTTAAAAAATTCTTTTTACTCCCTTGCCCATGCAATTAGCATTTGCTTACTTGGCCACATGTCCCCCCCCCTCCCCCGTCTTATTCTCTGAGACAAGATCTCACTAAATTACCCAGGCTGGCCTTGAACTTTTCCATCCTCCTGCTTCAGTTTCCCAAATAGCTAGGATTACAGGTATGTACCACCATGACCAGCTGGGTCATGTCTAATAATCACTTTATTTTAATTGTATTTAGTTTTTCATCTATATTTATTATCACTCCTAATCTTTTTTTAATAAAATAAGGGTAAAATCTGATAAAATACTCAAATTGCAATGGTCTTCTGTCTAGAGGCAGCACTGCACCAGAACTGGGGGCTGATAGGGGACTTGTGCAGAAACTGTGGCAGCACTTTCATTCCTGATTCTCATTGGCATATCCAGGAGTCTGCTTACATGATCATATAGATCACTAATACCACGTGGGGCCATTTGTGTGTACCATAGTAGTATATTTAGGATTCTAAAAAAAAAAAAAAAAAAAAAAAGCTCATCTTTAGACATGTATTCTGGAATTTGAAAAAGACATTTTTCTGCAAAGAAAATGTCTTATTGTTCCTTCAAATTAGGTCTTAACAATAGTGTCTGTTTGAAAACTTTTCATTAATGCACAGTGTATAATTTTTCGTTTATGAAAAACCTGAAAACAAAAACAAAACAAAAAAAACCACGCACAAAAATCCTGAAGATTGTTTCTGTGACAGGGAACTACATTCCTGAAAACGTCTTCAAATTATGAGTTATTGGCTCTGCCTTATGGTGAAAATTGAGGGTGACCTCCCAGCAATAGGGTTATATATACATAGATATTTCAAAAGTATTAATACCCTGAATTATTTCACAAGTGAATAAAGGCAGTTTACAACAAAGTTGGTAACAGATAATTATAAATATAACCAGAAATTGGAAGCAGAGAAAAAATGTAAACACAGGAAATGAGTATATGGGGGAAAAACAGCAAAGTGTGCCAGTGCTATCCAATAGCACTTTCTGTGATGATAGAAATGCCTCGGCACCACATAAAAATAAATAAAATAAAGGTATCGTGTCCAACTACAACTAAAAAATAAATATTAAAAAAGAAATGTACTATATTTAATTAATTTACATTTAAATAGACATCTGTGTCTATCTGGTGGCTACCACACAGGACAGTGCAGGTCTAAATTGTTTTTTGTAATTACATCTCAAATTTGTCTCTGGAAAAGTAAACTTAGTATGTAATATGGTTCTTGTCATTTAGAAGTAGACTATGCTTAGCAACTTAATTCATTCATTTATTCATTACCTAAATATAAATGACATTGAAAGGAAGCAGAGCATTTCCTGATACTTAGCTGTATGATAATTTTCTGTGGACTTATATTATGAGGGTACCTTGATATATTGCCCTGCCAAACTCTATTCAATTAAGGAATTAGGGCTGCAAGAGATAGAGTCAGTGAATATGGCATCCTTTCTCTTTTCAGAATTTTGAGTAATTATACTAAACTTTATAGAAAATTTTAAAGTATATAGGTAAGCAATTAAGCAACTACATCATAGGGGCTGGGGTTGTGGCTCAATGGTAGAGCGCTTGCCTAGCAAATGTGAGGCGCTGGGTTCAATCCTTAGCACCACATACAATAAATAAATAAAATAAAGATATTGTGTCCATCTACAATTAAAAAAAAAAGAAAAGAAGCAGCATCATAAAAACTGTACCACTCAAAGACATAATTACTGCTAATATTTCATCTGTGTATTTCCAGTCTTTGTCCCATATTTTCCTTGATAGGTCTTGAAATATCCAGTTTCCTCCATGAAAGAGACCTTCATTTGGAATGTGAGAGTCACTCACCTTGAACTCTCAGGCAAGCACCTGGCATCCCCTAAGGTCGCCCTCTCCTTGATATTTCATTATAGCTCCTGCCAGTGGCCTGGCTTTGGGACAATGACTATAAGTGCTTGAGAGGGTCTTTCCAAGGGAAAGAGGAGAAATATTACAACTGTAGTCAGTTCTCCATGATAAGCCACCCATCCTTGACATTACTGACATTTGCAGCTGGATAACTCTTTGTTGGGTGTGTGTGTGTTGGGGGTGGGAAATGTTTAGTGGCTTCTAACTACTAGATGTCAGTAGCACACTTACACCCGCCACCCCTAGCCTGACAATCAGAAATGTCAGTGAGAACCACTGGGTCAAATGGAAAGCACTAAATTATTGCTGACCTGCTCTAAAGAGTTTCAAATTCTTATTTGTACATGTGAGAGAGTCTGAAATCAAAAGACAAATCAGAAATTAAGGAAGCTGTTTTGTCCTGGATGTACTATTAATTTGCTGTGAGATTTTGGTGGGCAAGTGTATCAGTTAGGATCCTAACAGGAAAAAGCACAAAATGAAAAGAACTTTTTAGAGGTCTCTTCTTCACAAAAAAATGGCAGGATTAGGGGAACCAACACATGATGATGAGGTACCCAGGGAAGAGGGTAGACCACCCTCAGTGGACCATGCTCCCTACTCTTGTCTGAAGGGACAGGGAGGACTGTGGTACTGAGCTGGGATGGGGTGGAGGAAACTGAAGCACTAGAAAAGAAGCTGCCTTCTCCAGGGCTGCAGTGGCCATGAGAGAATGCAGCCACTGCCAGAGCAGCCCCCTGTGGGGCCAGACAAGTGGGATACAAGTCTTTCTCTTTCTGCTCTCCACCCTCTGATTCTTCATTGGCCAAACCCAACTGGAAACTGAAGGATGGCAGACAGCCAGCTTTCTAGAGCATGGGACAGCACAGGGGCCAGCAGAACTATCATCTAGCCTTAACACCCCAGGGTCTTTGTGCCTCTGCAGAATGAAGGTTCTCAAACTCCACTTCTTCTCTCTCTGTTTTTAAATTGGTGTGTTATTGCCAGGTTTCTGTTCTCGCGACTAAAAGGCTCAGGGGTCACTCTAGTTAAACTGGGCTAACTGGGCTGCACGAAATAACCACACAAGAGACACAAATACCTTTTTCTTTGGGGTTGCTGTGACGGCTCCTCTGACCTTAAGGGTCCACAGAAAGAGAGAGAGAGCACGCGCTGACCCCTTTTATTGAGGAGAAGCTATTCAAATGAGGCAAGGGGTCAGGTTTCAGGGAGCTGAGTCTATGTTCATGATGTCCACTGTCAGCAGGTTGACTGACACCTGGGTAGGCCACACCCAAGGGCACAGTAAGAGGAGGGGACACACACAAGGCACTTCCATGGAAGATTCTATCCTAAACAGGGCAAGGGGTTATATTACAAAGGAACAGGTGAGCATAGCTTCACCCATGGGGCTGTAGCAAGACACACCCATTTCTGTGATTGAGCGCCTCAGCACCCAACTGGGGAGTGTAACTCAGTCACCCATTAGGTTGGCCTCCCACACGTTATAATTACACTAGCAGTGGGATTCATTTTGTCATATTTGTACATGATACAACATAATCTGATCAGTGTCATTCCCCCTTCCTCTATTTCTCTCCATTTCTCCCTCCCCTTGATCACTTATTCTGCTTTATTCTCTTTTTATTATTATTTTTATCTCTTTTTATTATTGTTATTATTATGTCAATTACTGCATTATAATTATATGTATATAGGCAGGATTCTTTGTGCTATATTCATATATGGACACAACATAATTTGGTAGATGTCCTTCCCCAGTACCCCCCCCCCCTTCTATCTTCCCTCTCTCTCTTTATCCCCTTCCTTTACTCTGAGTCTTCTCTGGCTCCCCTTCTTATGCAGATATACAGATAGTCATCCAGTACTGCTTAAGGCCTCTGGCTTTGTTTCATGAAGGAATGCCAGGTCATTCTGTTTGGGTTTTTTTTGTTGTTGTTGGGGGGGGGGGGGCTACTGCAGGATTTAAGGGTTTTTTGTTTTGTTTTTAAATATTTTTTTTAGTTGTAATTGGACACAATATCTTTATTTATTTTTATGTGGTGCTGAGGCATGAACCCAGTGTCTCACACGTGCGAGGTGGGTGCTCTACCACTGAGCTACAGCCCCAGCCCTTGTTATGTTTTTATTTGTTGTTTTTAATCATTACTATTTCATTTTGTGCTGTTTGGGGCACTAAAATATTTGTTGGGACCTGAGTAAATAGTTGGCTATTTCATATACCTTATACTTACTTGTACATAATGATTTTTTTTTCCTTATAGCTTAACTCTTTCCCTATTTTCTGTCTCAGAAACCTTATGAGAAAAACTCCATTTTGAAAGGGGCTTAAAGTTTTCACCTGAAACCTGAGAATTTACCACCCCTTAACCAAACTGCCTAGGAAACAAAATAGTGAAATAATATGAAATAAAATAATTTATATGATTAATATCAAGGACACAAATAATACATTATGAAATCTTGCTTGTTGTTTTGCTAAAGAGAAAAAATGTTTTTTCTCTAGAGATCTTTAAAAACATAATTATTAGGCTTTTAACATGTTAGAAACAAAAGAAGTGTGGAAAATTTGCATGTCTTTGACCCCCACTTGGGAGTTGTACTGGGTATGCTCAGTGTTCTAGCAGTTCATGTTTTCCTATGTACTGGGCCAGAAAGAACTAGTCTTTAAGCAGTAGGAGACCGAGGTTATGATCTGGACCCTCTGGAGGGTAAAATGCCTAAGGACATGTGTAGGACCCTGGTATGTCCTGATCTCAGCCCAGTTTTGAAACTGGTGCTGAGGATCGAACCCAAGGCCTCGCACGTGCTAGGTGAGCACTCTGCCATTGAGCTACAACCCCAGCCCGTCACATTATTTTTAAAGTATTTTTTTTAGTTGTTGATGGACTTTATTTATTTATTTGTTTGTTTGTTTACTTTTCTGTCATGCTGAGAATCAAACCCAGGGCTTTACACATACTAGGCAAGTGCTCTACCACTGAGCCACAACCTAGCCCAACATTTCCTCTTTTATTTCTTTTCTTTCTCTCTTCTATCTCCCTTTATTGTCCCTTTTCTTTCCTCATGCCTCTGATTCCTGCTCACCTGTTTGCTCCCTTGTTCCTTCTTAATGCTAAGGGTTCAGAGTAGCCTCCAAGCTGTTCTTTTAATGTAATATATTTAAGTCCCATGGAAACTCACTAGGACAGGAAAAAAGAACTACATTTTATTACCTTGCTTGTATTCATAAAAGAAAGCCAAATAAAAAGCTGTCTTCTCCAAGCACCAACTTTGGGAAATGCATGATTTTCGTGGAGGCATCATGTTTCCAGCTGTTCTTCCAGTATAGGAGAGGGACCTTGGTGTTTGGAAATGCCCTTCTGTAAGAAACATCGCTGATATGATGTCCCAGGGAAGTTGGCCACCACCAGCCCCAGTACAGAAGACACTTGACTGGATACCCTGTGGGTGGGCACAAGGTGGGGAAGATGGGACTGGTGGGACAGGAAGTATTGGAGGAGGAAGTGGGCTAGCAGGAAGGAGTATGGAGTTCGGGGTGATACCATTAGGGTCCTGAACCTATGCTTTTGTTTTCACAGCCACTGAAGGAAGAGACCAAGATGAATGCAGAGGTGAGTCCTTTACCAAGACCATTTTAAGAGATGCTTTTTATTACAATGTTCCTGATTTTTTCTCCGCAGGATATCCTTTCTCCTTACAGAGCTTTCAGAAACAAAAACTTGCAAACATTTCTCCTCCAGCCTACTGATGTGCACCTGGTTCTGGGTGATGTAGGAAGAACGAGGCCCCTCTGGAGTTCTTATCCATGTCCATCCACCTTCAGTTAGAGTTAAATTTTTCACTACATCTAATTCTGGAATAGTACTCAGGAGCTAGGGTGGCAGTGGAGTGGGGAGGGTGCTGCACTAACAGTCCTGCTTTATGTTATTCTGGGGACTCTTGACTTTGCTTACTAGGACCTGTCTTTGCATTGTCTTCTTAGTGCTCTCATTTCCTGTTCTTTGATCCAAGAAGGTGTCTGGCATCTTTACCCCTTTGTTTTATTCATCTACTCATTCCTGCTTATTCCTGCTTTCACTCCCTCCCTAGACTAGCCTGCGGTTCATCCCCACTATTTCACTGATGCCCCCCAACTCTTTTTCCCCCCTGTTCTGCTCATCTACTTTGGCAAGCCCAGAGATTGTCTCCATGGAGTGGTGATCTATTTCTCTGGGCAATTTGGTCTGGTTTTCATCTTTCCCCCTAAGCTCTGTACTCCTTACAGATCCCTCCCATTCTTAGCCTTTAGATCACTTTTTTACTTTACAGACAAAAATGTAAACATTCCATGTGACATCATCTCTCTTCATTCCTGCCTCTTCAAGTGTCTTGTTCTTTTTTTCTTTTAATATTTTTTAGTTCTCAATGGACCTCTATTTTTTTATTTATTTATATGCGTGCTGAGAATCAAACCCAGTGCCTCACACATTCGAGGCAAGCACTCTTCCACTAAGTTATAACCCCACTAAGTGTCTTGTTGTTTAGTCACAGTGGAAAAGATATTTATCAGTGAGAGAGGCTGTGAATACTGGACACCCCAGCCAATGTGGCTCTTTTCCTAGAAGTTCAGTTGAAGGTCAGGCTCTAGGGCCCATTGATCTAGTGGCTCATTATGAAGGATACAGGATCTTTTCAGCTTTCCCTCCAAGTGTTGTCTTCACGGGCGGGGGGGGGGGGCATTTCCCCTTGTGGTTATCGGATGGCTGCCAGCTGCAATTGGGGCTGCACACGTTCTCGTTCCCTTTCAGCAAAAGAGAGAAGTGGCTTCCTGCAGCTCTTTCAGAAAAGAGGGAACCACTTTTTTTTAAAAGTTGTTATCCCCACCAAATGCCTCCTTAGGTCTTGTTGGCCAGCATCAGGCCACATGTCCATTCTGGGAACAATCACTGTATCTGAGGACTAGGGATTTTACTGATTGGCTTAGATTGGACAGGTCCACCCTAGAGCAGCTTCACCTAGGCCAGAGGGTATAAGAAGAGTGAGTGAATGTTGAGTAGCCTCCATCAGCATCTACGACATTTCTGACAAAGGCACACCCTTCTCCATTACTCTGAGACTGCAGACCTTCCACTGCCTCCTAATCATCTCCTGTATCTTTTTGCATTGCTCACCTCTCCTCTACTAGGTCTTTCTCATCAGTAATTCAAAATGCTTTAGATTTTGCTGTCTTCAAAGCAAAACAAACATCTGTCACTCTGCTTTTCTCCCCTTTGAGACAGGCTTCTTGAACGAGATCGCCATAGGTAATGTCCCCATTTTCTCATCCTTGAGTCATTCTCATCTTATATTATAGTTTGGCTTCTTTTCCTACTGTTATACTGAATTAGGCTTGTCAGGGTCACTGATGATCTCTTTAAGTTGTATAAAAATTTACTTTTATAATAATTTAAGTACATATATCTAGTGCAGAACTCAAAAGTCAGAAGTAAGTCCTACCACTACCTTATCCTGACCAGCCCTCCTCTGGCTGGGGCTGACTTCTGTTGACCATACTCTTATGCCCCTGACCTTATCTGAAGGCTCCTATGGTTCTCCATGGGACTGACTCTGATTATCATGGTCTTTAAAGTTCTGAAGAAACAGCAAAAATTCTGCATTATTAAGCTCATATACCCTAGCCTAGTATTGGTTCTGTCACTCATCTCTTCTGTCCTAAATTACAACTTTTTCTTCTTTAATAGCTTTTTAAAACCTTTAAAACTTTTAAAGACATCCCTAGGCTTGGTCCTCCTCTAACTAAAGAGGAACTTCTTGCTTCCCTTTTATATACAATCCTTCCATAGTCTAACTTTGTTCTCACAGCACACTATGCCAAACTTGGCTTGATGGCTATAATGGTTAAAAAAAAAAAAGTCATGGGACTTGCTGATAACATTTTTCAGAACTGTCTGTTTTTTTCTGCCTCATCATCACTTCCTCACTTACTTACCCTCCTGTGGGTCTTTCTCTCTCCTGTCCCAGACACAAAGGACAGTCCTCCTCCCCTGTGCATGGCACATTGTCTTTACTAATCTGTGCGAGGCCCTCACTGCATTGTTTTTAATCCATCCCACTTTTCACCCTGCCAAAGACAGCTTTGTGTTTGTGTATGTTCATAAAAACATTTTTTTGTGTGTAAATACCTTATAAATTTACTATGGTAAAACTGACCTTTTTCGGGGTCACACTGGTCCATCAGTTAAAATTCATTCTTAAATTTGTATAACCATTACAGTCAGAGCACAGAAGCTCACTCCAGAGTTTCCTTTCTGTTGCCGCTTTGTGGTCACAACTCCCCCTCTTCGAAACCTGTGGCAACCATTGTGTGATATACCTTTAATTTATCATTGTATATTGTTACAATTTATATGTCATCCTCCTTTCTTATTTTCCCACTCCATATTGTATTCCGAGATACAATATTACACATCCATTTAAGCCTAACAGAAAGCTTTTGAGCAAAATATGTTATTACCTATGTTTTGTGATTGAGGAAAATGAGCATCATGTAAATTGGTCTAAGAAACAAGGTATTAAGAGGCAGGACAGGGATTAAGTCCTGATATGACTCTATGAATACCTTTATTCATGTCTAGATTCGGCTAATCCTGTCTATCCAGTTCTCATGTCATTTCTGCTGCATGAAAAATTTTCTTGAAGCCCGCTCTCTGGGAGGGACACCTCCATCTCATGAACTCCCATTGCCCTTTATCTTTTCTCAAATTTCTTTCTGTTCTCTTGACTTCAAATATACCTGTCTGCATGCCTGATTCATCTTAGTATTGTCATATATCATCATTGAATTTCAGTTGACTAAACAACAGGATGATTCAGAAGCTGTGGAGTAATCTTATAACACAGTCCAGAGGTTGGGTGGTCAGTGAAAATGTAGAGGAAGGAAATCATACAGCATAATTTCCAGGGAAGACTTGCTGTGTTTCAGAGGCTGGCTGGAGGGGGCAAGGACAGGAAGATCCTCAGCCCCAGTCCACCCTGTGAGCTCAGATTCCTGTCTATGGCAGGAATCACAAACATTTCAGTCTGGGTGCCTGATAGGATCATGGGACCTCTGGCCTTTGTACACAAGTTCAGAGGACAGGCAGTCAGAGGGGCTGGATGATGGGAGTTCATCAGAGCAGGGAGAGGCCAGGTCAGGATGAGACAGCCAGGAAGAGATGTTCATTTCTTCTGAGAACTGGAGCTGGTAGAGGAGGTTGGCCTACAGGTCAAGGTGTTGGAGTCTTTCATCATAGAGATGCTCAGGGGCTTTAAAAATGAGGGAGCCCTTACTCTGGGAATATGGAGGAAAGAAAAGGAGAGATGAATGAGGCTTGAGCTTTGGAAGATATGTGTACCTAGGGGGCAGGATGAAGAAGGAAAGTGGTGAAGTATAAAATGAAAACTCCAGTACTGTGAAACAGAACATGAAGAAGGAGTAAGTTTAAAAAAGGACCAATGTGTGTGAGTTCCAGGAGAGTGTGGCTGAGAAGCTCTTGAATGCAGCAGCAAGAAGGTTTTAGATGACCTGTGTGTGGATCATGTCCTGGTGAAACAGAGGTGTGGGAGTGAAACTCAGGTTTCGGTGGAGCCAGGAGGGATGAGAGGAGGCAACAGTTATAGCCCACAAGTGTGAGGAAGGTGATCTGGGTCCCTGGTCAGGGGCAGAGAGCCCCAGAGCTGGGACAGCAGAGGACATTGAGCACTGTTGAGGGAGCCTCAGGAAGACAGAGGGGAGTGAGCCAAAGGTGCTGCCAGCTGCAGAGAACATACCTTTGGTGTTTGCATTTATTTTAAGTGGTTGTTTATATTTTTGGTAAACAATATAATCACATACTTCAAAATTTTAGAGGATAAAAAAAGACTATGAGAAATCCTCATCCCGCCTACCCACTGCCCAGGTGCCCTGGGTCTTATGCTCCCAGTGAGAACGTGTCACCACTTGCAGTATTACTGGTTTCTTGACTATCCTTTAAGAGTGATTCTAAACATATACAACACACATTTTTTTTCCTTTAACTTCTCCCCTTTTTAAAAAACAACAAGTATAGTACAAAACTATTCTTCGCTTTTATACCTGGCAATAAATCTTGGTGGGCAGTTCTTGTTATTTTTTTTCAAAAACACTCTGTATGGTATTAAGTTCAAAATAGAGGATCTCTGTTTAGCATTACACATGGTAGAAAATCTAAACATGATTTTAACAGCTCCATGAACAGATGCTCTGAAGGGTTTATAATTCCTTAATAGTCCTTTCCTACCAGTTGCTTGCCGGAGCATTAACAGATGTGGGTCTTAGGTGAGCTTAAAGGCGTAAGTGACCATTGGCTGGAGTGATCCCATGATTACTGAGCCCAACCAGATGTTTATCTCCCAAATAAACATTATAAGAAGAGAGAGATAGTAGGGGAAGAACCTGAGTCTCTGCAGATTAAAGGCCACACAGATAGTTAAGGGTGGAACTGGATTAAAAAAATCAAGTCTTCCTAGCTGCTGCAGCATATCAAGCAAGCTCTTTATTCTTTGGTGTATTAGGCAGCTGAGAGGAATCCTTCTCCATGCTTAAAGAACTTTCATTTTCTTTTTTATAGCTGTG